TGGACACACAGCCTTAGGCTCTCTATGGACTTTTTAAACTTAGCGTCGCAGCAGCAGATTGGTAAGACGGCTGATGTCACGTGCTCCCAGTAACAACACACAGCCAATGAACAATCCACCACCTGAAAACAATGAGTGGACACACTGAGAGCGAAAAAGCACACGCAAATACACGTGGAACATAACAAGGCGACATTCGGTCTGGTCATATCATCAGTGTTTAAGAATTACAAAATCCCAGTTTACAAAACCCCCTGCATGTAGGGTGATTAAAATCATACCTTTGTGTTTTATTCTCTAGGCACACTGAGGAGAAATAGATCCCAGCAAACTGCACAGACCCAACCACAGCGTCAGCCACAGCGCCAACGCAACCAGAGAGAGAACTACCAGATGGGCCAGATGCGCCGCTGAATCGCCCTCCTCATTGCCTTGGTTCTTCCTAGTGCCTACAGTGGGAAACACTTCACTCCAAAGAGTAACCTGAATCAATCAATGAGCCCCAACTAGAAACTGGCAAAAAATAAAATGGACTTCAAAGTTAAAAGAAACCGTTTTAAAGACTAAGAAACCACTGCTCTGGGAGCCAGCAAAGCTTTCGTTGCATAGCTCAGAGAAAAAATCAGAAACTAGTGATGAGCAAGAGGACAGAATCGATGATTTTTGTTCTCTTTTTTTTTTTTTTTGCTTTTCCTTTTCTTTCTCACATTATTAAAACCATTGTTCTCTCCACTAAAGTTTCCCCCATTTTTGCCTTGTTATCTTTTTTTATCGTCATTTTTTGGAATTGCCACCCTCCTGTGGAGATGAGCATGATGGGAAGTCACAGATTTTTCTGCCAATCCATGCTGACTGAGAGAGACTCCTAAAGACACTCCTTTTCCAATGTGTAATTAAGATGTTTTTAAAACGCAAGCAAAGGACTAAAAAGCTTATATTTCTGAAGCTTTCACTTTTTTTTCCTGCGTGCAATTGTACAGAAATCAAAAAATACATTGTTTTTTTTTTTTTTTCAGTCATGTCATTTTTTTCATTCTTTTGGATAGTTATAATTAAGGATATTTTAATATACACTCAGGATATAATAGGAAATAACAGCACAGAGAGTTTCTATTGGTGGAAGGCCTTTTACCAGATATACTTTGCTGAAAGCGACGTATGCATTTCATTTGTGCAAAGCACTTTCACCTGGTTGAATTTCTTTTTTTTTTCTCCCAGCTGATAACCACTTAAGAACTGCAGATCTTCCTTCCATGTGTGCGAGGCAGTTGATGAGAGGGAGGACGGTTAAAACGATTGTTATTGTCCTGATCTGCTGAGAGTCACTGTTATTTTATGTTCATCCAGTAACACAGTGATCCTTCTGAGACCCAGTAAATGATATTGTTCACAGATGACAGACTTAAAAATAAAAGCACAACATCAGGAAAGGTTTTTTTTCTTATTATTTTTAATATACATACATTACAAGGTTTTTGTTTTGCAATAAGATGTAGGAAACAGGAAAGTGTGGACAGTTGCACAAATGACTGAATCTAAGTGGTGTGCATTAGTGAAAGATTGAGATCAAGATTATAGAAGCAAGCTGTGGAGCCTTTAGAGTGTTTTACTCAGCAATCAATATGTATACAAAGAAACTTTTAGCAATTTTCAGTCATTACCTCTATTATAGCCGAATAAGATCCAGACTAGCAGCCTATATAATCAATACATATGCCTTGTGTTGCCTATATAGTTTATCTAAAACAGCCCATGCTCATTTTTTTTCTACAATAACCCAATTTTTTATTTTCTTTATTCCTTCCATTCTCTAAAAATGTGCTTTTGATTTTATTTTGTGTGTGAGTCATTTGCAAAGGCAGAGGGTTAGAAATAATTCATCCATTACAAATGTCATTTTCAAAGTTTCTTTCTTCTTTTTTTGTATTTCAACAGACCAGGAATATTTTATCTTCTGTTTGTTTGCTGAATGGGATCCTATTAGTGTGACTGAGAGTCCAATGTTTCTAAAGTCTGTCTTCTCAAATAACCTTGCATCCTTTAAGGGCATGCATTTTAAATATGGATGATTTGCTTGTATCTTGAAGATAATAATTCCTGGCTATCAGTCCTCCTTTAAATCTAGATCATCATCTCATTTCTGTATGATGGGAAAGGGGGTTTTAGTGAGCTTGACTTAACTGCTCTGACTACAGTTGGCTTCAAAGTAATAAATAATTTCTGTGATATCCTGTGGTAAAGGGGTTTGGTTGAATTTGTAAGGGGATTTACCTTAGAAATTTTTTTTATATATTTTTTTTTTTGCTTGTCTTGCTTTAAGTTTATAAGTAATGTGCACTGATATGTAAGCATGGTGTGTGGACAGAATATGAAAAACGACGGAGATGGAGAAAATGTCTAATACTACTGTTTGATTTTAATGTCCGCTGTGTTTTATACAGTTTCTTTTCTTTCTTTTTTTGCTTTATTTGTAGTTTTTTTTTCTCTTCTCTTTGCGCTCACTTTTGAAAATTTTTACTAAGTACTTTGCAAAAAGTATTGTGCGACATGTAATTTTTGAAGTACTTGAAATGCATTAATAAAATAGCCTTGATCAAAAGCTCATCTGGTAATATATCAATGTGTTGTAAACGGTATTAATTGCCTGTATGTTCTGCAAATCTACTAGTTTATGGTTTTTAAATGGGTATAAAAATATATTTCAAAAGAACAGCTGATGGAGTCTTCAACAAGCCATTATGGTCACGCATCATCCATTCGTGTTAAATTTGATCATTCCAATCGTCACACCTTTTCTCATAAACTGAAAGTTTTGTTGTCAGCTACCCACTCTCTTGCTGCTCAAGTCACACAATACCATAAAATGAAAAATAAATCACTTGCTGTCAAGTTGTTGCACTTTACAAAGGATGTAAATCCAGTCTACGTTTTACTTAATTCAAGGATGGACTGGCTAGAAATTGTACTCCAAGTGAGAATACAATTAAATCTAATTTTAAAAAAAAACTGATATGGTGAAATATTTCAGGATGTGTGATTATAACTAGAAGAAAGCGTCTATATTGTAGTGCCATAGAAATGACTTGAATGTGGTCCAGTCACACATCTTCCCCAATTAGGTCAGGATTTGAACCGGGGTAGCTTTTCACTTAAAATAAACAGCTGTATTGTCGTCATGTTTCATCTCGCACCAAAATAAACATGCATGATGCACCTGAATTTACCTTCCTATTTTACACGTGTAATGAGGGGATTTTATTTTTATTTTATTTATTAACTCAGACGACTGAAAATACATTGAACACATGTACACCATATACGTCAACACTTTTTTTTACAGGCTGTGCTTTATCTACAGCACACAAATGCACAGATGATGTTTGCCTGAAGGTTGAATCAATCTCAAAATGATTGTAGTTGCTGCAGAAATTAATGGCCTTCAGATATCCTTAAAAGAATTCCTGACCTTTATAAATTATATGAAATAGGACAATGTTCACTCTGGTTTGGGGATACTAAGAGTCACTCATCCTTCATCCCATTGTGTTTGTGTTCAAGTGCGACAAAAGTCCTAAGGTCTTGGACACCTCGGTTGAACACTCAATAAATAAATAAAAATGTAAAATGAGTTTATATGTGTAAAGTGGGCCTAGCCAAATTTAAGCGAAACAGCCTTGATATCAACAGCAAAATAGAGAAAGAGCGCGTGCTATGCACATAGTTCCCAAAGGCAAAACAATTGTCACGTGACCTCCCCGGAGACGCCATCTTTGAGGGCAAAACCGCTGTGTTTACCATAGGCGTTCACAACGTTTTATCAGAGAATGTCGTTTTACAAACAAATATTTATGTCTGTTTATATTGTTATGCAAATCATGAAAAGACAAAGTGTAATAGATTATAAAGAGACTATTAAAACAAGACATAGAGAGGTACAATGCGAAAATTTCATTCATAAATGGTGTGTATCCTTATGCAACAAAAGAAGCACTGAGCACCGATTATGCAACTTTGCCTCAGATACAGTATTTTCATGTGTACAATTATCTGGTATTGGTGAGGAGTTTTTACACATGTGAGCAATTCCAAGCCTGGAAATCACTGGAGGTGTACGATCAGATTGACGTGGGGTTGGTTTGGTGACGTTTGCTCAAGTGCAATCAATGGAAAAGTAACTTAAGTCATCATAGCGAAGTAGCATGATGCTAATCTGTCTATTAAAAAGCCATAGCCTGCACAACTTAATTCCTATGTTCCCCAGTCACCGGTGATTTCTGTAATATGCATGTACTTGCGGGCGTCATGGTTCGGTGCATGAATATTAAAATAAATAACTCGCGTGCAATTTAATTAATGTAATAAATGAGGAACTACATTATACGCGGGATCTTTAGGGACATAATCTGAGATTGCAATGCTGGAATGTGAGATCAAACAGTGGAAACAATGTTTGTATGTTTTGTATGTTTTTAATACCTCGTCATTTTGTTCATACAGGACATTATTCAAACAGCAACGTGTTAACTTATATTTATTTACACTCGCAATAAAACACAACATTGTGCTTTTGTCAAACAAATTCGTGCGTGTTTTGAGTGAGTTTCTTTCCTGTTTATGCTCGCCAGCCATAATCTCCATCGTTGTTCGGACAAAAGCTTAGTCTTCTCACATCCATATGGAGTCTAATGACGGGTATAGTGTAAAATCCCGATTTAACTGAACCTCCGGCACGATTTTATCATCCATTGACTCAGCAGGAGATGACCATTTTCACTTTATAGCACGAAACTCATTTCACTTCGTTCAACTCGTATTGCTTCTTCTTATGTTTTGCCCTCTATGGTTTTGCCCTAAGCAATGGCGCCGGGTCGGCAAATGCCCGTATGTTGTGACGTCATGTGGGAACTATGTATAAAAAGAAGCTTGCTGTTAGTCGACATTTGAGGGAGGGATTTTGGTGTGGTGTGGTAGAAGTCGTGAGAGAAATGTCTGACATTATGTTGATATGTCTGACATGTTTAATATCAAACTTTCTTGCTACTCTTTAAACATAAAAATACAAGTTAAAACATTAATATTATATTACAGTAAGTCCAGTTTCCCCCGTCCCATACGTCCTGACGTGAACACACGGGATCGGATGTGTGAGGTGAGTTTCTTTAGCCGTGCTTCATCAGTCTCCGCTTCTTTTCACAGCGCACAAACACCTTCTCCTGCGATGGCTCTATATACATGCCGTCTTCTGTCTGTGCGCAAAACGAGGTTCTGTAAAGAAAGAGTACGGTTATGATGAGCTTCAGCCTGGGAAACGTTTGCTTTGTTGTTTTGATTTATTCAAAAAAGCCCCATTCAAACACTAGAGGGCGCTAAAGTAACTAAACATGAAATAGAAGCTTGCAAACGTTTTGAAAACCTGGGGCATTAAAAGGTAAGATCATTAAATGCTGAATCCCAAGCTTTTAATCTCTATAGTAAGCCTAAGCGTCGTGAATATGAATACAGAATATGTGAGCATGCAGTTTATCACAATCTTTTAAAACACTCCCCACCATCTGTGTTACTGTTGGCCAAGTGTTCCACTTACTTCCTCTGGGTCTCTCCAGATTTCACTGTAATCTTCCCCACAGTGAGCTGTGGTCCTCTGCTACCTTTGCCCCAAGGTATCATGGTCTTAACTGTGCTCCACATGTTTGCCCACACAGGGCTTCCCTCCCAGGTGAAGCGCATTATCATCAGGTCACCTATATCAGTGTCCAGAGTGATGAGGAACGTAAAGGTCTTGTTACCTGAAATCTCCTCAACTCTGAAAAAGATAGAGGAACAATTAAGGAGAGTGATTGTTTCATTCAGTTTTTGAAGATTTTCAGTCAATGTATATTAGCCTGTATGAGAGTCACTGTGTGTGCACGCTCTTGTTCGAGATGCTATTTTAGTCCATTGCATTTCTGTTCTCTGTTTCATGTTCCCAGCACACATGTGTTTCACTCATCCATGCGAAATGAGTTATTCTGATGAGTGCTCTCTGTATGCTATGAAGACTAAATTGAGCAGTTCCCCGTGAAGCAGAGCACGCTACTTTGAGCTTTTAGAGCCCAGAACATGAAACATTAATGATGTTTTTCATCCCAGATGTCATCATTCAGTCTTTCATTAAGGGATCTTTAGCTTACTGTTAAATCGGGAGCTTCTGCCACTGTCACATTAATTTGAGCTCTTACTTACGAAACGACTATAGTTATAAATTGTACGTGTGGATTTAATGATATTATTTATTTGTTCATATATTCTTGTCTTTATCACTCCACTAAAGGGATTTTTTTTCATATAGGCTATATTTTGGTTATATAAGATGTTTGTTAATAGCAAAGAGCTTTTTTAAATGGTCGAAACTTCAAATGCATCCATAGGGTGAGAAGGTCATTACAAAGCTCAGTAAATTTATGCTCACTAACAATTTACTGAGATGATGTTATTTTAATATTAAGCTGTTCATATCAATGTGAATTGCACACTTACAGTGTTATGGGGACATTTTCACTTTCTCCCAGTGTCCCGGTTAGAGAGACTGTGAGGGTGGGGTCGATCTTATCAATTTGGTTTATGAACTGGATCCTGAACTGATAGTGAAACACTGATGAGGAAGGAAAGTGAGGATTGATTAGCATGCACTGAACACATTTTTCAAAAAAAAAAAAAAAAAAGGAAAACAATGTAACACAATTAATTATAAACATTAATTGCTAAAATCATTTTTAAAATCAGTAACTTTTTCTTGTTTTTCAGTAAAATGGCTAAACATTGGAAACTTTGGAGAATTGCATAAGCCAAACAAGATAATTATTTTTGAGAAAAATATTGTTCTATAAATAGTTTTCATGTGTGTGATTAAATATAATAAAACATTTTGCATTTAAAATAATTTGTAAAATGTATTGGGGAGAGCAGTTTAACAGTTAGAGACAACATAATGGTAGAAAGTGACTGTTACACTGTTTTGTTAAGTGTGATGGCTCACTCACATTTGTATGGCATGTGTGAACGGGTTTTGAGGAACAGTTTCTTGCTTGTGTCAGAGCGAACTTTCTTGATGTCATAACCCAAAGTGTTACAGCGGTTCTTTCGGCAGTCCAGACAGTAGCCCTTATCGAAGGCCGTGTTGTCGCTGCACTTGTAGGCCATAATCTGCTTGTCTTTGTTCAACAGGGAGTCGATGAAGAGATGCACAGCGCGCTCATGGGCACACTTCACTGTCTGCTCAAATCCTGAAGTTAGATGGACATAACATGAGACTTTTGCACTAACAAACAGTAATTAATCATAGATCCACTCAGACTTTTAGCTTATCATTCTCAGTTGTGTGTGTGATCTGCTGTGTCTAGATTTAATACAGTGCATTGTGGTGAGTTAGCGGTGATGCAAATAATCCGGTGCATTGTGATGGTGGTAGAAACTTTAGTTCAAAAGTTTAGGGCCTGTAAGATTTTGATAGATTTTAGAAATTTTATTAAGCAAGGATGCATTAAATTGATCAAAAATGGCTGTAAAAACATTTGTAATGCTACAAAAGATTTTATTTTTCAAATGCAGTTCAAAATATTAAGTGTTTTCATCATTGATAATTATAGGATTATTTTATTTTTTTTGAGCAGACAATCAGTTTTAATGGTATTAATGGTAAATGGACTGCATTTATATAGCGCTTTCAAAGACCCATGACCACCAAAGCGTGCCTCATTCAATATGAGGGGGGGTTCGGCATCCTGCTCATGGACACCTCGACACTTGGTCAGGTGGAACCGGGGATTGACCCATCAACCTTCCGGTTTGTAGACTATCTACATGAACCACTGAGCCACTGCCGCCCCAATTACAATTTTTTAAATGGTTAGAATGATTTCTTAAGGATCATGTGACACTGAAGACTGGAGTAATGATTCTGAAAATTCTGAAATAAATTACATTTTAAATTAGAAAAGTCATTTTAAACTTAATATTTTCACAATATTTCTGCTTTTACTGTATTTTTGATAAAATAAATGCAGTCGGTTTAGCATAAGAGACTTCTTTCAAAAACTTTTGAAAGAAAATGTGTACAGTTACAGTCCCTGTCCATTAGCGCAGCGTCCAGGGTACACGAGTCATGGACTCATCAGTTTTTTGTAGTCGTTAAAATTATGTATTTCAGGCCTGTCTTTCTGCTTCAGTTTTCCCATATATGGATATTTAATTGCCTGGAGGCAAATCTCAGTATGAGAGCAGAACCTAAGAGGGATTTGGTATAATTAAGTTGTGAGGATGACAGCTGCTTTTATGTGTTTATGCCTTTCATCTGGAAAGCTGTCTTTAGTAGCCATTCTCACAGTGTCATTAATGGGATGTTTTGAATGTATCTCATCCTAATCTGACAGTAATTTGAGGATGAACCTGGCCCTTTCTCTCTCTGTCCATCCATCCAGCCATTCATCCATCTATCCACCCAGGCATCTCACCCACCCATAATCCCGTACTGGGCTAAATGTGCATAAATGTTTTGCACATGCAGCTGGCACCCTGGTTGAAATATTCCTCCATTGGGGTAGAAGTCCAAGTGGGCAACAGGCTGTTCGATGCCCACACTGAGTCCCATGCGCTGTTGGGTAAATGTATGGATTGCATCCACAAACATAGCATCCTCAGGTGAGAGTCTGTCGGTATGAGACATTCCCTCAAACAATGGACCTGCAGGATCCAAACCTAAATCCAAACATAAATATATTACCATTAACCAGGAAATAAAGTTTTGTTGCATTTGCTGAGAATAAGGATCTTAGATTTAAAGTCTTTTTTTTTGTTTATAGGCCTATGTATGAACATCATTTATTGATTGTTTAGACTGACAATAATATCTCACCAGTAATTCTTCCCAAGGTTTTCCCAGACACAGCTAAGTTACTTCCAGCAAATCCAGATATATGAGCGCCAAGGCTGTAGCCAATCAAGTGCACTTTTCCCAAAGGAAATTGTTTGAAATCCTGTTATGGATACTCACAGATTAATGTCAAGTAGTAAACGTGTTTTCAAGAATTTTTGCAGTTGGTAAAAGAAGCTGTGTACAGTATTGTATAAAAGATTATTTAAACGATAAAAGATTTCTTTTTAATTAATTATTTCTCAAAAGTGACTGATTTCTATTCAAAAGAAGTGCTGTTCTTTTGAAAATTCTATTAAGAGGTTCCACAACAATAATGATCAGCACAACTGTTTTCAACCAATATAATACTGGTACTTAGAAATACTTCTTGAGCACCAAATCAGCATATTATAATTATTTCTGAAGGATCATCAGACTTTCACAGTAAGTCACAGTATTACTGTTTTTTGGTATTTTTGAATAATCAGTAGTTTTAAATAGTCAACATTGGTGAACAAGAGATCTTAAAAAAAAAGACCTCAAACATTTGAACGGTAGTGTGTATACCCTTCTACCTAAACATCCTACTGAAAGTCCTTCAGTTTCATGATGCAAGTTTTAGCCATATATGTAAACACATTTGTATTCCCAAACTAACCTCTAGCCACCTCAGCAGATGGGCAATGTCCTGTCCCACTATGCGTGTGTTCAGAGCTGCTATAGGATAGTGCTGGTGTGCCAGATTCAGCCAGTCTGTTATCACCACATTGATGCTTCCCTGTGAGCTCTTTAGTGCTGATGCCAACCTGGAAATCCAGTTCTCCATCATTCCGTCCACCTATGGCACACGGAAGAGGAGTTGATTTCTGCTCTCCTGTTTTGTTTGTAGCAGATGTTAAATAACTGCTGTTTGCAAAGGATGCCAAGGTCTTTGTGACCTTTGGTACATTTGAACAATTGATCTGTTTTTCTATTAAATCAATTAACTCAACATACCGACCAGCCATGAATGATGATAGCCAGTGGATGGCTGCTATTGAAACCACAAGCGTCCAGTGTGTGAGGCTGGAAGAGCTCAACTGTGCACATGTCGTCTATGTATTCCCCATCAGTGTAAAGCCTGAAGACTGATTTAGGTTGATAGAGCATCTTCATTCTCTCTCCAGGCTCTGTGTCTGTTAGTATGGTCATACACAAACTGAAAGTCTTTGACAGGTCATCAGCACTAATAAACACCACTGTTGTTTGTTCAATAGTCATGGAATATTTATATTTGTGCATAAACAACAGTACAATAACCTTGCATTAAAAATATGTTACAAGTAAACATGCTTACAAAGTTAAGCATGTTTAGTTCCCATAGTTCCAGGTGAACTTTGAGCTTGAGTCAAGGCAGAAAAAATGTTTACCCACCACTCTTTCTGATTAAATGAGCATGTTGGATATGACGGTATCAATTTACAATAATGTCTTATTTGTTAACATTAATGTATTGACAAACATGGACTAACCATGAGCAATACATTTGTAACTGTATTTGTTAATCTTTGTTAATGTTAGTTAATAAAAATACAGCTGTTCATTCATTGTTCGTTACACTTGATTTCAATAATGCATTGGTAAATATTACAATTATTAATAAATACTGTAGAAGTGCAGTTCATTATTCATGAAGTTTCAACTTCACATTCTTATCCGGCTTAATTTTCAGGGATGCAGTTTTTGCATATGGAAAAATGTGCATGTTCAGTATATGTTCTAATATGCAAATGTCAAAGTATTTATGTTTTTCTTTCAGTATTGAGCCTTTTCAGCTTTTATTTGCAAACGGTCTAGGAAATTATTTCTTTGTGGTTTTATAAGTTGTTGTTTTTTTTACATACTACAAGCTTTTATCCCTTTAGATCAGTAGGGATTAAATTGGGCATGATGCTTGACTTTCATCCAATCCTCCTTGATATTTGACTTTTTTCCAAAGAGCATCAGTTGCACATTCTGCTTATTTCCACATAGACTTTTTTCTACGCTTAATGTTGACTAGAAGTCCTGTTGTTTTTGTTGTTCCCAATTAGATTTAGTTTCTGCAAGCATATTTCCAATAAATGTTTCTTACATGCATACTGAATATAGTGCATGTTACAATACCCCAGTAAATAAAAGGAGAAAAAATATGCTTCATTGTTGGAAAGTTAACTTAGAATATCATTTTAAAGGGATAAATCACCCATACATTTATGTTCTGTCTTCATTTACTCATCAATATCTTGTATGCGTGTAAGTTTGTTCTGCAGAACACAAAAGATGATATTTTGAGTAAAGTTTCAACTGTTTTTGTCCATGCAATCCAAGTGAATGTAGTCCAAAATATCATTGGACTAACATAAATCATTGTAAAATAATTATATAAAATTCTTGAAAGTATCTTATCGTAATGCTCTGTAGAAATGGGAATGTCTTGTCTGCTACAACATGAGGGTGAGTGAATGACAGAATTTAAATTTTTAAGGAGAACTATAAGCATAATTCACCCTCACCTGCTCGGTTACCCCGAAATTTTCTTCCATCGGTCAGTTGTGAGATGATCAGACAGAAGGACACGACTTTAATAAGAGTCTTCATGTTCAGGCCACTTCAGGAGCCCACAAAGATTGTCCAAATATTTTGTGCCTCTCTTTTTCTCAGGCAAGAAAGGAGAGCACTGACTGAGGCAGGTGATAGTCCATTAAAACTGTCTGAGCCTGAGAGGAGGGATCAGTAAATATTCAAATGTAACTGAGCCCGGAAGAAAAGTTACTCTGTTTGACCTTTTGTAGTTTGCAGCCAAATGTTAGCCTGATTGGCTGCACGTTGTTGCAAAAGAAGCTATGGCACGTTTGGTGACAAAGTCTTGTCAGAAACAGTTCAAAAAGGCTCACGCTGACCCATTGCTGATAACAAATGACTACTCCAATACCATGTCTCTAAACATCAGTCAGAAAAGAGGGATGCCCAGTGCTTATTAACTCACTGGTAATTTGTATTTTTGCCAGTTTAACATTCTCCTGACTATAAGGAATGTTGCAAGGCCATGTCAACTTATTGTTACCCTAATCAGTGTTGGGAAAGTTCACTTTCTATACGAACTAGTTCAAAGTTCAGTTCACGCATTTTAAAATGAACTAGTTCTGTTCATAGTTCTTCAAAAAATGAAGTAGTTCATAGTTATTTTTTTCCCATATGTTGCAAGCTTCTTTTTGTAAAAAAAAAAAATTATTGCCACAGCCCATATACAACCACAGACAACAATTATTTATCGACGGGCAAAGTTTGCACAGAATTGTCCCATCCTCACCGACCTCGTTTAAAGGATCATACGACGCCTCCTCGCTCGCTGCTTTGGTGGCTTATGTTGCCAGATTGGGTGTTTTTTGGCTACATATTAAAGCCTGTTTACGGTGAGTTTTAGCCGGGTTTTCGCCAGGAAGGCTCTATAGAAATCTGGCACCCTAGTGTACGAAGTTAAACTGAGAGAGCGTGCGTTCACAGATACCAGAATGAACAAGTTCACAGTAACGTTCATCAGGCAGTAATACAGTACGTTCAGTTCACGTTCGCCCAAAAGATGAACGAGTTCATGAACTATAGTTTATTGAACGCGTTCAGGCACAACACTGACCCTAAACTATAACAGTCTACTAATACGCCTTATTCTCTTTGACTCTATCTCTTCAATGCATGGGCTGTACTGTTATTTAATGATTCTGCTCATCTTTATTCAGCACAGCGGATCCATCACAGTCTATCACAGCCTCACTTTCATACCTGTCATGGCGCTGCTCTGAATAAGGTCTATAGGCCTACTCTAATGAGGGTTAGTTGATTCCATCCGTCCGTCCGTCCCACCATCCGACCAGCACAATGTAGCTAATGTTTTAGTTTTATGCACATCTGCAAAGATACTGTTATTCACTGTTATAGAATCTGAGGGCATTTGAGTAAACTTGACAGAGGTCCTCATTCACCTACACCCTTGCTTTTCCTCACTAGTAAGGAAAATCAGTCAAGACTGGTGCACATTATGCAAATACTCTTCCCAACCATAATGATGTTGTTGATGATTTCCTAAATAATAATCGACTTTACATTTTTTTTTCTTTTGTGTGCAGAATGTTGCTATTATGGTTGGCTGATGAACATGCCGGATTAGCAGAAACAGAGGGCATATGCATAAATTCAGTGGACTCAGCTGATGGTGATGGTCAGATAATGATAATGATTAAATCAGGTAAGATACATTTGTTTATTTCATCTATTCCTACTACTATTTAACTTACACTGTAAAAAATATTTTCAAAATTTGTTATCACAACAATTTTTCTTTTGTCAAATCAACTTAAATAATTTATTTAGTTCAGATAACTTATTATTTTAAGTTTCTGATGATTAAATCAATCTCCTTCATTGTCAACTTAAAATTTTAAGGCAACCAGGTTACTTAATTTTTTAAGTTAAACCAACAATATTTTTTTTACAGTATAGCAGCATGTGGTCTATTCACTTATTCTGGATATGCTGAGTTGAATTGATGTTTCTCTAAGCAAATTAATTCACAAATGTAACATTTGTGGATATTTGCGAATGCCGTTATCATTATCTAAGAGGGTAAAATAGTTTTGACGTGTCTATCTTGGGGAAGGACTAAACGGACTGTGATGCAATACTGTAGAATACAGACACAATGTATCTAGGGATATTATGGTTGCTGTAGTCAAAATTCTCACACAGGAAAACAGACATGAGTTATGTATAACAGTATGTTTATTTTATGTCAGGTCTACATTAACAGAATGACAGTAAATGTCTAACATTTGGAATGTGGTAATTATTTGCAAACTGTTTCATGTATGAGAGAGTAAAAAAAAATCTGACATTGAAATTGCAATAACACAATAAAAGACAAAAATATATAATATAATCTCTTTGAATTGTACAAACTGCTATTAATTCAAGTGCCAAGAAATAAATTACTACGTTAATATTTAAAAAGAGAAAAAACATATTAAACATTTTTTCCCCAATAAACAGTAGCTACAAAATACCTATAAAGCTTCACATTAAGCTTTGCCTGAAATTTTCTTCTACATTTAACACACTGTAACATAAATACACATTGTTTTCTTCTTAAGCTTATATTTAATAGTTCATCACAGGTTTGTTTTTAGCATGCATTGCGATATTTATCCTGTTACCACATGCATGTAACCTTATCAGCAGTCATGCATGCAGTTAGTTCATATGTTGTACTGATTCGTCATCTTTGAGTAAACGGAGTGGACAGTAAAGTACCCTCTTCCTTCGTTTTAGTAAGAGAAACACATGCATCTGCTGTTATAGGGTTGTCCGATCTCTGTGAAAGTTAAGAAGAAGACATAGTAGGATTGGACAAAGGAATGAAGGACATTATAGATACAACAATCCTTGAGTAGGTCAACTCTCTCGCTGAGTCTGTACAAACCTCTGAGAAACCAGTTGGAAATCATGATTATCTCTAAATGCAATGCACCTGCATTCTTTTACTGGCAGTGGTGTGACACTTGTTGATGGTGAAGAAACTACTGATGCTTTCCATAAAATACCTGATTGTTTCTATTTGCTCCATGTTGACGTTGCTCTTTGAACATTCTCTATAGTTCTACTTCTGTTAAAAACATGAAAACGTCTAGAGAATTATGCATCATTACCACTTGCTGTCTTTCATAGCTGCTTGATTTAATGAGTGTACTTTGGCAAAAGACTCAGCAAAGAGATCTTGAGGAAAAGAAAGAGAAGAAAAGAGAGTTTCTTGCTTGATGTCTATGGTGAAGGAAAAGATACCATACTTTCCCTCTCTTTTCAGTTGACGGTGTTTAATTCATATTTGTCTTTGACGCTGTTGTCATCTTCAAGGTACTTCTCGGGTTCAGGATGGTGCAGCTCAATCATGAAGAAGTAGATCACTGCCCCAACCACACCTCCCACCATCGGCCCGACCACTGGAACCCACCACCAGCCATTTCCAGCACTGGGGACACACAACGCACAGGTGAGAATAGAGTCAGGGCTGGGAAAAATTCTGAATGTAAGAATTTGCAAAGAAAATTATTAATTAGAATTTGAAGTTTGAACTGTTTTTTAGGGCATCAAGGCTGCATTTATTTAATCAAAAATACATTAAAACAGTAATATTGTAAAATATTATACAAATAAATTAAATTTTCTTTGTTAATATATTTTAAAATGTAACGTCCTGTGATGGCAAAGTTGAATTTTCAGCATCATTACTCCAGTCTTCAGTGTGGTCACATGATCCTTCAGAAATCATTCTAAAATGATGATTCGGTGCTCAAGAAACATTTCTTTTATTATCAATGTTGAAAGTAAGTTGTGCTGCATATGATATATTTTTTTATATTCTTTGATGAATAGAAAAGGACAGACATATTTCATAACATTATAAACGTCTACTTATAATCAATTGAAAGCATTCTTGTTGAATTAAAGTATTAATTTATTTAACTTACTGACCCCAAACTTTTGATTGGTTCTGTATACACGCATATTAGTACAAACACAGTTTTTTGAAGCAGAATGGTCTGAGAAAATGTCTTGGATCATTTGTTTGCAGATGCCACTTGGTTTGATATTTTGCATTTAATGCAATATTATTCAGACAAAAATGATTTAAGTAACCAAATATTGCACAAATTATTTTGTAGCCACTGTCTATAAATTAAATGCAAATTTATGTGGGTGTCATTTTGCATATTGGTGATTCATATCTTTTAATGTTTAAAACATGAATGGGATAAAACATTATAAATTGGGACTGGGACATATGCATTTCTTTGAAAGTTTTGATTTCTGATCAGTTGTGAATTACAACTGTAATTAAAGTGAAAGTAGACTTGATTAGGAATGTGCCTGTACATTACTGGTGTATCTGAAGTGTTGTTCTGTGGTCAGACTGATGGATGATGTCAACACTGTTTTGGTGTCTAGTCTTGCTCCTCAGACACTAATGCATTCATTGTAATCTGTGCTTAGTCTGTCACTCCAGTGCTCCCTGTCTGCAACACTCTTTCCCTCCCTCAATCCCTTGATCCTTTTATAGGCTACTGAGAACACAAATGCTCTGTGTCCTTCAACCTGCTCTACAAACACGTTGGCAAAGGTATCTGTAAACAAAGGCATAGCCACTGCATAGACACTTTGCTGAACTGAATTTATGCAATGCTCATGCTTTGAGTTGGACGACAAATTAAAGAGACAGATCGAGCACTTCCTCACATATTCAACTGATATGTGATTAGCTCTCCGGGGATGTCACCCTGTGTTTGTAGTTGTAAAGGGCTGAATAACAAAATATACAAAAATATTTGAATCAGAATCAGTAAATTTCAAGAGATTTGCATGAATGAGTTAAGGGCTATAGTGTTTTGGAGAAACTTTCACTTCTGAAATTTGTGATTGTAAACACAGCAGTTTTCTGTGCATATGCAATTATTTTATACAACAATTCAGAATTCTTTACTCAATCCTGTGCATGAAATCAGACTCTTTTTGCTGTTGAAGAGCAGCAAAAGAATCTCTCTCTCTCTCTCTCTGTGACAATGACCTATATAACTATGATAGCTAAAAGCAGAGTTATAGTGAAAGACGATAACGTTTTTTTCCCTTTAATAGGAAAAGTTGGAGGA